CGCCGATGTTATATTTGAATTCAGCAACCCAAAAAACCCCCGAGCGCCGAGTTTATCTGCTTACCCGCGTGAATTTTAGAATAGCCCCCGTAGATAACGATCTTTAGCGTTCCTGAGATCCAGGGCTGGAACTCTGTGTCATGTAGAATTCTACTTATCGCTTTCTACAATAGAAATCGATTACTTTCTTTTGTGATAAATACGTTATCAATCCAATCAATCGCACGGGAAATATCGCAATGTGGTTTCTTATGAAACTAGTTATCCTGTAGTAAGTATATATTCGTTGGTTTTCCGCTATGTTACACAGAGTGCCACAAAAGAATCTATTGTAGAAAGCGATAAGTAGAATTCTACATGACACAGAGTTCCAGCCCAGGTCGGCTGTGGTTCAATTTGAACATCATAATCGTGATCAGCGAAATCGAAACAGAAACTCGATTTTGGCCAGTCCTGACTCTTCCACTTTTCAGGCCATATAGAGGCCATTTTTGGCCCCTGGGGTCAATTCCAGACGTGGAGGGCCATTTCTGAGCTCGGGATCGGATTCATCGTTGAAAAATACATGGGAATGTCCGACCGGCAAGTCTGAACACTTTTTTTTATTTGTGGGGCTGTGTTATTATACGAATGCTATTTTAAATAGTGATAAATTACGTGAGAATATTTATATGTTATACAGGGTGTCCCATTAGTGTGTAATTGCTCGATAAATCAATGTGTATTATCACAAACAACATTCAATTATAAGTTATATGGATTTGAACAAGACATATTTTAAAAATATTTTAGGCTATACAAAGTGTTACCTTTTTTTCTGATAAATAAAAATGTATGTTGCGCCCCTTTAAATGTATGCCCCTCCCGCCACGCAAGGCTGACTACGCCACTAAAAATAACAGTATGGTCAGGGGCACCAAAGGGTACATGGGTTTGTTATTCAGTTAGCCCAATTTCAATTATCCTTCTGACATTGAATGGTTTGTTACGGCCCATTTTAGAGAAATTATTGTAGTGTGTCACCGTTAAATATCACATTATAGGATTTATTTTTACCTATTATTTTGTTAATGCACTTTGTGCTTTGAAAACAATCAAAAATAACTTTCACGAGTTTTTTTAGTTGATCGCATGTACCTGTAAAAAAATTGCAAAATTACTTGAATAAAAAAGTTAATTCTGTTTAAGTTTTTATCCATCTATTAAATTTAAGCGAATTTGGATACTTAAACTTTAATTTTTTTGTGTTAAAAAGTGTTATAAATCTGATTTTTAAAAACCTAAAGTTCTTGCTAATTTCTTTTAAAAAATCCGAACAATCATACCTTTTTGATTTAAAATTTTTCGATATTTTGAGATATAAATAAGATATCAAATTAGAGGTATAAGCGATCGACAAAAAAAAATGTCAACGTCATTTTTATTATTTTCAAAACACAAACTTTAAATGAATCTAAATTTGTGTAAACTAAATAATAAAAAAAAACATACCATGTAAAGCGGAACTTTATGACAAAATGACAAAATTTATAAAAAATGACATCGGATACAACTCTATTCAAAGAATTTTATTCTATAATGCTAAATGATAGGATTATAACTAAGAGTAGAAAAACGATCCTCTTTAAATGACCTATCCCCAATAATAAATGCACTGACAATGCCCAAAATCTAATCAGTCAACCACAGTTTAAAATTTAGTTTATTCACTTAATCTGTTTTTAAGTTGTCGTGGATACATACACACACATCGCAAATATGGTCAAAACCACTGATCTGTATTATTTTACTGGATAGGATATAGCCCCCTAAAAAACGTTCCGAAAAATTGGCCGATTTGGGCAAAAAATATGGCGGACCGGATGTTATTTAACATAACCTCTATTTCCATTTGTCATCACATTTGTCATTTAATTGTGTCAAAAAATTACGATGACACGTTTTTTTTTATTTATTTAGGTAGTATCGAATAGCATTATTATGATATAAACAATAAACGTTCATTCGTGAAGACACAATATGCTTCACGTTTCCATTTTTATATTTTCTTTCATAAAAAAAATCAAATTATAGGTGAATTGTCCCGAAGGACATTGCCCGCAGAAGGAATAGAAGAAGAATAAGAAGAAAAACTAATCAAATTATAGGTTAGGTATGTCAAAATTATCCCAAAATTCAGTTCTGTGATCCCACTATAATTTGCCCAAATCGGCCAGCAGTGTTTGCACTTCCGGTCTCCTTGGTGGAACGGATTTTTAGTGTATTAAATATAGCCTATATCCTATCCAGTAAAATAATACAGATCAGTGGTCAAAACGGATTTAAGGGCCCCAAAACGTAAAAATCTATCGAAAACTTGAGGTCTAAAAAATATCATTATTTCTATACTCTCCTTAATAGTTATAGGAATAATAGGAAATAGAAACTAATTTATTAATTCATAATTATTAAAGCTAATTTAAAAGGGTTGATGTACCTAAATAGCAAAACATTAATTATACTAAAATGCCACATGAAAGCTTACTTCTTTTTACATGGTATTTGGAGCCTTTATTCGTTAGCTGTATAATATCTAAGGAAGAGACCACTGAATGTCAATTAAAAATTTTATTTGTCGAGTTTACCCATTAGCTGTATAGGTATCCAAAGAAGAGAACACTAAAATTCACTAAACTCTGGTGCCGATACCGTTGAACTAAAATGTTACTAAAATCTAGTTACTTTTATTAAATCGGATTATTTTAAGCCAAAATCAAACTCATGTAGTTATTACATATCCATTGGCATCAATTAGGCATTCCAACGACCTGTCCAAATGGCTACCAGTGGGGACTGACAGTTTAGATATGGCAACCCTGTTGGCATGTTGTCATTAACAGGGTCAATTATACATATATATTTATAAAGATTGCTCAAAGCTGGTCGTTTGCGAGCGGCCATATTGCCTGGCAAATATTTATTAATTTGAATCGGTTTAGCAAAAATGTGTTTTAAAACCAATTTTCAGCCTTTGGATATTTAAAAAAAATAATTGCTTACGTTTTTACTTCAAGGCATAAGCTTATGTTTATTTTGAAAAATATGGATGATCAATCTATGTAACTATCTATTTCATTGAACTTGTCAAATCACCAGGCCTACAGGGTTGCCATAATTTTGCCATATCATAACCTGTCAAAACCCACTGGTAGCCACTTAGTTTGGAATGCCTAATATTTGTATAGAATATTAGGCATTCCAAACAAAATGGCTACCAGAGGCAACCCTGTAGGCCTGGTGATTTGACAAGGTCAACGAAATAGTTACATAGATTGATCATTCATATTTTCAAAATAAACATAAGCTTATGCCTTGAAGTAAAAATGTAGGTAAATATTTTTTTACTATATTTAAAGGCTAAATATTGGTTTGTAAACACATTTTTGCAAAATCGATTCTGATTAAGGAACACTTGCGAGGCAATATGGCCGCTCGTAAACGACCCGCTTTGAGCAATCTATATAACTATATATGTATCATTGACCCTGTCAATGACAACAGGCTCACAGGGTTGCCATATATAAATGTCAGTTCCACATACTTTGATTACTATACGGGGCAAGAGAGAGGTCCGATACGCCCAACATAGGGCGCGGCCATTTTTGATTCCTGTGACACAGTTTACAGCTAAAGAATCAGATCGCTCACTCTGCGTCGGCACTTTTGATCTCAATGTTCCAGTTTATACACTGTGCAACTCGGATAATACAATATATGACAACCGCCTATAATAAAACAGCAGTCTGTATTCCTGGAGTGGATGTTATTTTAAAACTTTCAACTGGTTCGAGTGAGCTAACTGATTCTTTAGCAATAAACTGTGACTTCAAAAATAATATTCACTGACACTGACAGCAGCAAGCAAAATATCAGAAGCGTTTTAATCATCCGCTTCTGCTTCCGGAATTGTCGGTTTAGTCGTTTTAACCTGTCAGATTAAAACAAGAAAACCGACAATTCCGAAGCAGAAGCGGATGATTAAAACGCACCTATTAAAAATATTGCGCCAAGATGTAGGTAACACGTAATAAGGGTTCAAAACGTCGGAGTTTTCTATCTCCTTTTAAAAGGCACTCAGAAAGCTGCGCAGTGCGACCATTCTCCGTATAGTAAAAGAAAATCAAAGTATGTGGTCAGTTCCCATTTGTCAGCAGTTTGACAGGTCGTTGGAATGCCTAATACTACAAACATGTTACAGGTTATGACATAGTTCAATTTAAAAATTAATTAAGATCATTTAAATTAGACTGCAATAATCAGTGTCATAAATTTATTGTATTTTCAATAATTAATTTGAGTACTTTTTCAGGTGATTTTTGGAATATAAATTGTATCACAACTTAGATTATACTTTTAACTATTATCAACTAATTTGAGAACCCACAAAATCATTTACTTAAACGAATTGGAACGGCAAGGGTCGATGTTTTTACACGCATTTTGTTCGCGCCAGTTTTACCGTAAACCCAGCCTTCGTCAGGAAGATACCATTTTAAATCTCAATTTTTCACACAATTAATTAAGAGGAACTTTTGTAGTGCACCTCGTATATATAGACACTAATTGTAAGTTTCGCCACAATGCCCATTTTTAACAATGTTTAAATATACTTTTTTGCCTATTTTGTGTTCATATTTTTTTGAATAAACTTTTTTGTGGTTTTAATATTTTTACACTGAAAAAAAATCTAGTACTTGGCTATAAATAACTCAATCCCGTGATTTTAAATCTTGGCTTACGATTTTCACTATAATACATAGGTAGAAAAAAAAATGTCTTTTTTATTTGAAATATTTTTCGATTACCTAAAAATAAACTATACTTTCCTTAATGGATTCCAAGAAAAAATTATATCTTAAATTCGACATGATTTTTATTTTTAAACAGTTAAAAAAATGAGAAAATAAACAACAAGTTGTTTTACCAACAACAGTTTTCGAATATATAAAAAATATACTTACGGCACTTCTAAGGTACATATTCCCCTCCTGGAATTATTAACTCCTCTATGAGCTCCTTGGAGTTGAGCAGTCTCTCCAGATATTAAGAAAACCGCGAAAAAAGCACAAATTCCTATCACCGCTTTGTATTGCCACATTTTTAGGGCTTTATCTAAATAGGAACTTTAAAAAATATGAAATCTATCAGCGGATGTACGTAAATATTCTATAAATTATTATCTCGTCGTGGAGCTTCAGGCTTCTAGTAATCGTCGAATCAGTAAAATAATGTTAAACCCATTTCTTCACGATTTTGTAAGTGGGAGTTGTTTGAAGGCGATTTTATAGTGCAGGCACTGGATTTGTATAACGTGCTTTGTTTAGAAAATGTTTACAGAAATAATCACTTAATTAATTTTCTTATAAAAATTTGACGCATTTCAATTTATACACTGCTTTCATAAAGTGTGGAAACGCTCCATTGACCCACAAGTTAATTATTTTCGGAGGTAAATCTCGGGCAGATCGATTATTTTAGTTATTTACTCTTCTAAATAAAACCAATAACTCTGTTCGCGGAGTTTTTCATGTACATGCCCAGTAACCAGATAATTATCCCATGGTAATTTGACTCTAAACCTCCATACAACATAGTAGTCCAATTAAATAACGAAAAAAAGCCCCTTCGAGCTTACATTAATTTGTAATTGGATGAAACAAAGTGGACCTTATGTATTTTGATGTGATCTTTCCGAAAAAAAGCAAAAAAGATGTAGCTGTTGTTCAATTTTTTTTAAATTAGGAAAAACCGGGTTTTCCGGAATTTTCCATGGTAAAAATGATAATTATCTGGGCAAGTATCATTCCGATAGTAAAAATAAATGCACCAATCGAAAGAGGAGGCAAAAATAGTTCGGAAATTCATTGCATAGGTAGTTTTAATGGCGAATTTCTCGCCGCCAGAAGTGCTTTTACCAAAAAGTTGTTTTTTCGTTTCTTTGATCAGAACCATGGACATGAAATTTGCGATGAATTTGTGGCGAAATTATAAATGTTAGACATAAGTGCCCATGAGAGAAGTTGCGTATTTTATTGTTGGCTCTCAAATAAAATAAGTCCCGCGGCGAAATCTGCCATAATTTTTCGGGAATTCGCAGGAAACCGGAAGGCGTAGTTTTTTTAAAATTTTTTCCCATATGATTTTCTCCCCTCTCTTTGCTGACCGTCTGCAGACCTTTCAATCCTGTCGGTCTAATTGGGGTAAGTTCACCCTCTGCAAGTGTCTGATGACATAATAAACACAGGCCAGCCATTGCAACCTGGAAATAAAAAAACTATAGCACTGTGATAGAATTTTCTTAATTTAGGAACGTACTTACTCAATAAATTGCTGAAGAAGTCCGAAAAACCACGTGTACACAGAGCTTGCTGAACACGGTTATTAAAAATCTATGCCGATCAACACTATCATTGTATAAGTTCTTTATACAATGACACTATCAAGCGATTCAATTTGTAATAATATGACCATTTGAAGTTTAAACTTGTCGGATATAGTACGTTATATATATATTAATTATAATAAAGATAGTAATAATATTATATTGATAATTTTTAATAATATTTATTTTCTTTATTTATGTTACATATAATAATTATTAAGTAATTAGCTAATGAATACTTAAAATAATTCATATTAAATATAATTAAGTATAATATAAATTTTATTTAATATATTTTATAAAATATATATATATTTACATAATTATTATGTATCCCTAGGTATTTTGATTATAATTATCATAATTCTAAATATAATTATTATAAATATATATTTTACGTATACTTAGTAATTCAAAAATTAATTAAAGGAAATTTTATAATATTAAATTCAGAAGACATTAGGTTTGCTTAATTTTCAGATCAAAAAACTGAAAATCGTCAATTTTAGGCAACTTTTCTCAAAAACCGTGTTTTTTGGTCGTCACTCAATGAACAGTGGTCAAAAAAATAGATAAAATATTTTTTGCAGAATTTTCCGTAGTGTAATCGTATTCTAGACACAATAAAGAACTTAAAAAAAAAGTTTTGAGCCATTGGGTGCATTTTTGGCATTTTTGTGCTACTTCAAACTTTCGAAAAAAAAATTTATTTTTTTTAGGGAAAAAAATTTGTTTAATTGTTTGATATCTTGGCCAATTATAGTCCGATTTCAGTGAAATTTACACACACATAAGATTTCATATTCAAGAGTAAGCTCTGTAAGGGCATTAACAAAATTCAAATAGTTTGGCCGTTATAGGCAAACAATGAAATTAGGCCCGCGGTACACTTTGCTCTTCCGCCATATGTCCAATTTTGGGATTTCTCTTGTCCCCTTCTGGTCACTTCCCTTAAGTTCAAAATGCATTTTTGTTTTTTTAAATATTTTAATTTTTACCAAAGTTATGAAGAATTTAGTGTTTGAACATTTAACAAATTCAATTTTTCGACCTTCGCCGCCTCAAAATACTAAACAAATTTCAATCGTCCATACCGCGAGGACGGTGCATCGGATCAAAATTTCTCAAGAGACATGAAAATTAGCATTTTTCCTAAGCTTTCAAATGTCGTAAACTGCGTTTTGAAAATATTGATTTATTTCCGACATGCACCTGCGCAAAATTGAAAAATTGACAAAATCCAAAATTTCGGCACTTTCGAAAAACAACTACATTTTGTTTTGCCTTTTTTCGAAAAGATCACCTCAAAATACATAGAATCCATTTTGTTTCATATAATTACAATTTAATGTAAGCTCAAAACCCGTAATTTAATTCGATTATAGGTAATTCTTTTCACAATATAATAACGATACATATAACATTTTATGAATACGAAATCATAGCCCATCACATCGTTAAAAATATTATTCCTTGATTTAATTTAATAATTTAAAATTAATTCTGATGCCTTGGTAGGATTCCCCACTCGACCATTCACTGTTGGGTTCTAATTAACAGTGCTGTTCCTAAAGTGGCGCTGAGAAACAGTAACAAAGCCTACACAGAACACGAGGCGAAATAACAGCAGTTGAAGCCGTTGACACAAAAAAAATAGTCCTTGATAAAAATTACTATAAAGGTACCATTTGGCGACCGCGAGACCGAAACAAGAGACCGAGGTAGGCGACCGAAACACTGTCGTTACGCATCACACAATTAGCAAGCTGATTGCAGGCGACTATGTGAGACCAACAGCATCGAAAGAACGTACAAGCATTCAGTTCGGTCACTGCTTTGTGGAAACATACAGAGTACAGAGTCTTCAACAATGCCCGTATCCCACATGATCTGATCAAACAAAAAATTAAGTGAAAATGGCCGTTTATAGTGACTTTTATGACAACTGCTAGTTCATTTACTGGCATTGTTTTAGGATTATTAATGTTACTTTGATGACATTAATTTGGTCACGTGGGTTTCGGGTATTGTTGAAGAGTCGCTATTTTGGGAGTTATTACTCGAGGAAGAAGAGGATGATGATAAGTTATTGTATTTTAATATGAAAAATCTGATGTGTCCAACACGTGACTTTCCTATCTAGTTATTTAGTCACCACCTTTCAAAGGTGATATCGCGGAAAGGGGTGGGCGGAGGAAATTTTGTTATAGGAAAGACCCATCTTTATTTCATACGAGCAATCACCTCCTGAATTTTATCGCATGAATTTAGAAACACTCTGTAGGAGGGGTAACTAGTTCCATACTATGTATTTTGAAATTAATATTTGAATAAAATACACCAATAAAAAATACGCACTGAACTATAATTTTTGTGGTCATTTCATTTAGCATTGCTTGTATGATGGTTCTGAATTAGAGGTCATGGGTGCTTGCTTTTATCTTGATATTAATGGTATTTATATGTTTGTTTTTCCATTATTCCCAGAATGTGTGAAACGAATTTTTAAATAAGTTAGGTCTCATATCTTTTTTTAAACAAAAAAGACGTGACTTTATTTAAAAATACACGTTTATCATTATTATTAATATTATTAATTGATTAGAATTTACATTCAATTAATAACATTTTATTAACGTTTAATAATATATTTGTTTAATTATATTTAAGCTATCCATATTTACTTTCAGCAAACATCAGGGAAATGTCTTCACTCGTTCATGTTGCGGGATCACGCTCTGCTCGTCCCGCAAAGATTCACTCGTTATACATAAACTAAGGCATTTCGTAACTGGTTGCACAAATAACTATTGTTACCCTGCAGTAGCCTGCGGCTCTTATAGGGAACGTACGACTAAAAAAACAGCAATGTCACCCATCACCCTACAGTGTGCTGCGGTCGTCATAAGTAAAAGTACGAGTAAAAGAAGAAGAGAGAATAGTCTAGAAATGTCTAAGACATGTCATTCCATGTCAAGAAACATCTGGACAGTTCGAGAAGGTTCTAGAAGGGTAAAGCGAGTCGATGATCCTGACGTCAGAGTTTTCAGTTTTATGATAGACGTTATACGTTCATGTTATCAGTTTCCAGAAACCTGTAATACTATTTTCTAATTTTGACATATAAAGTGACATTTTTTGTAATTGTAGAAAGTGTCAAAATGATCTACATTACGCAACCAGTTGCATAATGTTAAATATTATGAAACTGGTTACGAAAAATGCATTATGTCACCAGTTGCGATAAAAAAGAAATAAACCCTTTTTTGTTTCAAAATCAATATATACATTATTATTGAATGTTTTTATTAAAAAAGGGCAAGTTGACTTGTAAAAATGGAATTTGGTTAAACTTACAACCTAGTAATAATGTTGTTTTGGCCTTTATTTTCCATTCTAAATCAGCACAAAATAATTAAAACACGACAAAATAACCCATTTTCTAGAAAAATAAATAACTTTAACAAGCAATATAAACATTCTGTAAAAAGTCGTTAAGAATACATTAATATGATTCTCTACTTGTTAGTAAGACGAATAAAGATATGCATATGCAACTAACAGTGGAAGGAAGTAATAATGATTGCCTAGATGTCAGTAATATTTATCCAAAACATAATTTTATAAATAATCATAATTAGAAAAAATATTGCATGTAACACGTTACGAAATGCCGTATTATGTAACTGGTTGCATAAATAGCTATTATTTTTTTATTCCAACGAGCCATATTTATATGGTATGGTCTTTAATACATTTTTTTATTACCTTTTTAGGTACCTAATTTATTTTTTAGCCTGCGGGGGGCCCCTAGAAAAATCTTGCGAGTGTGCTCCCAAGAAACTCGACAGGCCCCTGGGTATTCTAATACCCTTAAGGTGTAATTGAAATGTTATTAGCCAATAAATAAATAACGATACTAAATAAACAACAAATGGTTTTATTATCAAAACTTGGTCCTCCCACAAGTATTTATATAAATAGACATAGGAGGAACTGAATATGTCGAACTAGATGTAGAAACATTTTGTTCGTTTTCCTTTTGTGGTATTTCGTCATATAAAGGTTCAATCACATAATCTTGCGATGAATTTGACTTCACTTCCGATTGATTTAGCACTATAGCCGCCGCTTTGAAGGTTCCAGTTGATGGAGGATGGTCGTATTCAAATTCCCTAATGTCTAAAAGATGAAAATATAGATATAAATTAATTTTATTTACATTGTATAGATACCTAATTCAATTATTATTTTCTAATTAAACTTAGTATAGGCAACCAACAATACAAAGGGTATTACTGGTTGCTAACACACTGACTGAAAGATGGAATGACTGAAATCAAAATTAATAAAAACTTATAAAAACGTACAAATTTCGTAGATTTATTTTGAGCCCGTATTAAAAACTCTCGTTTTTTTACCTTTAAGCGTTGAATGCGAAGTCCCATTGACATTACATACTATTCTAGTTTCAAAACTAGACATATCTGTTATATTGTGACCATTCTGGCATTTAATTGGATTAAGATATAGAGGATTTTCTGTTACAGGTGGATCTAAAATAATTTTTTGTTTTATTAAAATAAAAATATAAAATTTAGATTTATTAGTAATAAATTTTTTATTTTTAATTACTCTTAAAAAGTAAAAAAAAAAATGACCCCGACGTGATTTGAACACGCAACCTTCTGATCTGGAGTCAGACGCGCTACCGTTGCGCCACGGAGTCGTTATATATTTTCTTTGAGATAGTGCTAAATAAGTTATTAATATAAATATTTCTACACTATGTTCAAGACGAAGAATGTAATACGATAATTGAAGACATAAGTGGATAAAGGGTCAAGATACATTTGTTTTTAAATTCATATTTTTGCATAAATGAAGGGTAAATGTACCTGAAATTCATTCTAACGGTATATTGTTATAAGATATTTCTTTATAATAAATATTATTAAATATTATTTGTTTTTAAAAAATACCTAATTGTTTGAGAACATTTTTGATTCATTAATACTAGAGGATTTGTAATAAAATGCATACCTGGTAAAGGAGAATGAAAGATGCTAGCAGAAAAAAGAGACACTTGATGCTTTCCATTCTTGATGTTATCTTTCCTCTTCTTTTTTCTTAAAAAATTAATGCTCAAAATCGTAACCACCAACATTAGTGCTATAAGTACAGTTATACCGAAGAGAGCAAATTCGTTAGAAGAAAAATTATTAGAAATTTGCCTGTTTAGATATTCTTCGTTGGTAACGGAAATAACATTTTTGTCCTGCATTGTTGAGCTGTACGTTGTAGGTTTCTGTTTTTCATAATGAACTTCAACAGGAATCAATAGTCCTTCTTTAGTGGCTATTGGGGTTTTTGAAAATGTAAAATTTGTGTTTGCTGTATTTGTTGCAAAATCGGATTTTTTTGTGGTGAAATCAACTTCTTTCATAGTGGTTTGGTTTGATACGAATAAAATCATATCTGATTTTTCTGTGGAGGTGATTTTTTCAAATTGTGTTGTGGATGTAATTTCGATATTTGGAAAAATATTTGTATCTTCAATTGCGGTTTCTATTGTTTTAGAAGGATACATTTTTGTAGTAGGATTTTCTGTGTGTTCTGTTATTGTAGTGAGTTTTGTAAATTTATTTTCTTGGGTACTAAAATCATTATTTGTAGGAATGGTACTAAATGCTGGTATTACATTTTCAGCAGTTGTTCTATTTATAACTTGATCTATTATGTTTTCGTTTGTGCCGTCAATTTTTGTACTACTACTAAAATTAGTAGTAGTTTCTTTGATTATATAAGTTGTAGTCGTATCTGTTGTTGTAGTTGATATCATTGTTGTTGTGTTTTCTATGCATAATCCAGTTTTAGGGTGACATTTGTTGTTATGGCAGTTACAAAATTTTGAGCAGTTTGGTCCCCATTCGCCAGGCAGGCAATCTAAACAAACACAAAAATTACAAAATGATGTGATTATGATGATAAGAGATTAAATTGTTCTGTTTTCAATCAGGTGTACGTAAAGTTACTTTTTCTACGATCACTATCCAAGGTAGGCTTTTGATTTTCGAATTCCAACCGCAAAGTTGGCGTTTTCCGCGAACTGACATTAAATGACAGCTTTGCCGTTCGCCGAGCGACAAAGTTGACAGTTTTATTGCTAGCCTAATTCAAATTAGCTATAATATAATAATATTTCTTTTTAATAAATTATTTTCAAGTTATTTGTACGTTGTTACATGTTTTTTTGTTATATTATCTAAGTTAACACGTTCACTGTCCTAATAGTATTTTTCCGCAAACGGTTACACGTCCCCACTTAAATTTGTATGCCCCATATGTGGTTCGTAGGACTCTGTGATAATTTAGATGTACGACCTACGTCCTAGGACCTATATGTTGGTCGTAAAATAAAACCTTGAATATTTGGCAACGTTTCGCAATCAGCACGTGTTCTGTGTTTTAGCCCGCCAATATTTTGTTTGATAGTTTTTCTCGAGCGTGCAAACAGATGTGTTGTGTTACTCAATTAAAAGTGTTTCCTACTAAAAACACGGCAATGTCCGGAACAAAACGTAAACTAATCCAAAGAGAGTTAGAAGATATCGCGGAAAATCTATCCGAAATAAGTGATTTTGATTCAGACGACAATGTGACAGACCCGCATTACGGAAATGAAGAAGGCGATTCAAGTTCTAATGAAGAAACAGAAGATAGTGACATTCAAGATAAAAGTGAACAAGAAACTAGTGAAGTTTTAGAAGATGAAATGAATGAAAGTGATCCCGATTTCTGGTCGTCAACCATACTCTCGTTTTCAAGATTTACATTTAGTGCAGTGGGTGGAACAAACATTAAAATTACTCAAGATATGGAACCCATAGATATTTTCAGTTTATTTATAACTGATGATATTATTGAGCTAATGGTCGAATAAACAAATAATTATGCTTTAGAACTTCAACGCAAAAAACGTTAAGTACGCTCAGCAAGAATTTCTAGATAGAACGATACAGACAAAGAAGAAATGAAAACATTTATTGGTAAGTAAATACAATTTTGATTTTTATAGTGTCTGAATATCATGTGATTGTTTGTTTTAGGTATACCCCTGCTTATGGGACTTATAACTTCCCTACTATAGAATGTTACTGGAAAAACGACCCATTGTATTACCATGAACTTTTAAATAAAGTATAACCGTTTTACATTGTTGCTGAAATGTTGGCATTTCGATGACAAAACAATACCTTCAGAAGACCGCTTGTCAAAAATTGCACACTTGTTGAATCTTGTTAGAAATAACCTAAAAAATGCGCATTCTTTTGGTGATACAGTTGTTGTGGACGAAACCATAGTTCCTTTTAGAGGTCGTCTGAAGTTTCGTCACTACAATCCATCAAAAACCCAAATTATTCAAAGTGTGCTCTCCACTTGGATACACTTGGGATCTAAAAATTTACAGTGGACAAAATGAAAGACGCAAAGGACTAGATCTTCCTGGTAGTACAGTTGTTGAACTAGCTGATCCCTTGTTAAATGCTGGAAGATTGGTTATAACTGATAATTATTATACAAGCATTGAACTTGCCAAATACCTCTACGAGAGGTAAACAAATTTGTTAGGAACCGTGAGAAAAAATAGAATAGGCCTCCTCAAAGATGTAGTTAACTGCAAACTAAAAAAGACAGATAATTGCCAAACAAAATAATTTTATACCATTCTTCAAGTGGCACGATCAACGTGATATATGCTTTCCACGTGCCACGATCACCAAATGAAAGTTTATGAGAAAAAAAGAAATGGAGAAGATAAAATCAAACCCTTTGCTATAATAGAGTATAACAAGGGAAAGCAGGGGGTAGACATCTCTGAACAATTATCTAGTTATTACACTTGTCTTCGAAAGTCTTTGGTTTGGTTCAAAAAATTGGCCATTGAAATAATTTGTGGGACACTGATTGTCAATACTTTTATTTTGTATAATTTTTTGCGTCCAGTGAAAAAGTCAGCAATGATAAAAATTAGAGAATCTCTTATTCGCAGCCTTCTCAAAACAAATGAAAAGATGAAAAGGCAAGAAAAACATGAGGAAAAAAGCAAGAGGAGGGAGACCATAAGCTAGAAGAGCTACCTAGAGGTAGCGATGACAAAATACATATACAGGAAACGCTGTCATGGGTGTTATACTAAGTTGAGAAATACTCTTACATCAAAACCCAAGCAGCAAGGTGCAGTCATTATGACGTGATTTTTTGGGTTTACTCGTCAGAAACGTAACTATCCCAATTAATGACGTTACTTTGACGTCGTTTTTGCAACGTTAATTAGACGTCAATACAGACTCGTCATTATGACGTAATTTTTTAGTATTAATTTATCCGAAATACAATATCCTAATCAGTAACGTGTATTTGACGTCGCATTGATGACATAGAATAGACGTCACTTAGAATTCGTCATAATTACGTTATTTTTTCGTATATTTCTGGCAATGTTATATTGTCAATTGTCAATTGTCATTGTTGTTTCCTGTTTCCTCCATCTTCATGATTCTCGTGAGTGACAGTCGTGATCTCGTGAACTTGATGTATTTTTAAATTGTACTTTATTTGATAAGATGTTTTAGAAGAAGGTAAAAAATAGAATCTGAGAAAATATTAAAGTATATTAAACCGAATTTAGTATTTTACAGATGTATTGTATTGTTGAGTTTGAAAAACCGGATGATGATGATGATGGTCTGACGGTTGTGAGGTGAGCAGAAAATGGCTGACGCTGCGTAAAAAACAAGTCTTTTGGCCGCCTTTATAAAGAAATATAATATAAGACTTTTATTTTTTAATTATGAGTTTTTCAGGGTATTTTTTAAATAGTTTATTTAAAAATAAAAGATTTGTAGGGTGTCACTTGATTTAGATACCTTTTATCATCTCACAGAATATATGATCGTTTTTTTTATTAACTTTTATTATAAACTCATGACTATATGTATACCTCTGAGAAGGTAGTTTTTGAGGCTACTACTTCAATCTCCGGTGAAGATTTTACAACTATTTACACAATTTACTTTCTATCTTTAAGAATTTTCAGTGGTCTGTATTTTAATAGTTCTTTTATTTTAGATGATAATGATAAGTGATTAAAAAAAGTCGGAGTTACCTCAGATCTACATTCCGAGGCTAATAAAGTACCTACTAAAAGAAAACAGGTGCCAATTAGAAAGATGTCATTCGATGATACTGAAGATGATGAAATCGTAAAGCATGCTCGCCCACCCTCAATTAAAATCAAATCTATAATTTTAGGTATGTTGTGTCAGTTCCTCTAATATTCTTTTGTCACTTTATTCCTTTTGGTTTCTTGCTCATAACTTTTTTATTTACCAGTGTAATTTATTTTTTATAATATATTTTTCATGTGTTTTTTGGATTAAATAAATAACTTTCATCTGCTTAGTATTTTTAACACATACTTTGATTTTCTTTTACTATACGGAGAATGGTCGCACTGCGCAGCTTTCTGAGTGTCTTTTAAAAGGAGATAGAAAACTCCACCATTTTGAACCCTTATTACTTGTTGCCTACATCTTGGCGCAATATTTTTAATAGGTGCGTTTTAATCATACGCTTCTGCTTCGGAATTGTCGGTTTTCTTGTTTTAATCTGACAGGTTAGAACGACTGCACCGACAATTCTGGAAGCAGAAGCGGATGATTAAAACGCACCTGGTATTTTGCTTGCTGCTATCAGTGTCGCAGTGAATATTATTTTTGGAGTCACAGTTTATTGCTAAAGAATCAGTTAGCTCACTCGGACCAGTTGAAAGTTCCAAAATAACATCCACTCCAGGGATACAAATTCAGGATACGCAGAAGACTGCTGTTTTATTATAGGCGGTTGTCATATATTGTATTATCTGAGTTGCGCAGTGTATAAACTGGAACATTGAGATAAAAAGTGCCGACGCAGAGTGAGCGATCTGATTCTGTAGCTATAAACAGGGTCATAGGGTTCAAAATGGCCGCGCCCTATGTTGGGTGTGTCGGACCTCTCTCTTGCCCCGTATGGTAATCAAAGTATGTGATTTTTAATGATTCCATACAACCTTGGGACACCCAATATAGACTTCACTTTGACGTTAGGTAGATTCGTGATGATGACGTCTATTTGCCTAGCCTAGGACACCCGATGTACATGTTACTTTAACGTGATATCGATTCGTCAAAATGACGATATGGAATGACGTCATTTCGCTGTGACATTCTCACGTTACTATAACGTTATTTTCACGTCATCAAATGACGTAACGCACACCAGAAGATCATGTTATAATGACGGCATGATGTTGCATGGGAAGAAGCATGTAAAAATACTAAGAAAGTCTCAACTTTTTGCCGTTTGTGCAACCAAGCATTTTGTATTTCTTGCTACGCAGAAAATCATTGATTTTCCTTTGTAAACACTTTTAATAAGAATATTTTCATTATTTTGTAACCTTATTTTTGATATGCCGTATCTCGGTTATTTTTTGATAGAATAAAATGTTTTTTTTACCAAAATGTAGTTTTTTCCCTGACACGTCCTTCTTAATATTAAGATATAACAAAACATACATTTACGACCCAGATATGGTTCGCAGGATTTATAGGTAAATGAATTTACGACCCATATATGGGTCGTAGGACAGTGAAAGTGTTAACATGGACTTTGAATATTAACTGATTTTTACATGATTAAAGTAGGTATAGGCAACACATTATACACTACTTACGACAAATTTTCAGTTTTTATATCTATTTCTTAAGAAAGTGTGATCGTAGAAAACATCTTGTGTGCATTTTGAGCGAAAAGTTCGTTGCCGCCTTCGACATATTGCCGCGCTCCTCTATACACGTTGCATTGGGCAACTTTCTGTCTCAAGCAGCAAAGTAGCACTTTTCGCTCTCAATACACAAATAGCTAACGCTGATTTCAGATAGGCACAGTTCCTGATACTATTATTACTTTATAGATAAGTGTTTCTCAAAGTGTGCTCCGCGGAGTCCTGGTGCTCCGCAAAGCCTCTGTGTGGACTCCGCATAGTCATAATAATAAAAATACTAAAGGAGTATTATGAGGAAGTTCGTCAAAAGGAGGAGCTTTTTTTTAGAAATGCCCCTGGGTTGCAAAGTAAAATAACACTATCTAAACCAATATAAAGTTTAAAAAATCTATTTTTATTAATTTAAGGCTTTTCAAAAGGGTTCCCTCACCAAAAAAGTTTGAGAAACGCTGCTATAGATACTATCAATTAGGTACAATTTTCAAAAGGATATGTCGCGTCGTCTAAATTCCAGGAAAATAGCTTTGTTTTAAAAAAATCTATACACCTATTTCTACGGAATAATATAGACTATTCTATTGTAGTTTTTTTTTATTACAACCTTCCGGGGAAGTACGGTATTGTTGCGAAGCACACGGATATATTTACAGTTGTCTTTAATATTATAATAATAATTATAATATTTTGAAACACTTCATTTGCAAACAGTAAAATAGTAAAAGTTATGGGCTTTATTTTACAGTACAACAGGTGTGTCCGAAGGTGAAAAAAGCATAAAAATTGTAATTATCTGGTTTATTATTACTTTAATACAACTCATAAGCGTCCATTCATGGGTGAAAAAATAGAAAATCCTAAACACTGCGATTAAAATATAAATTATTCAATTTCACTCTAAATTTATTTATTATGATTGTTATCCAATTTTTATTTTTCTTTATAATGATCGCAAAAACAATGACTACATTAGGTATCTCCGTAAAATTTTAAGTTTCTATGATTCCTATTGTCATTGAATTTATTATACAGTTAGATATACGTCTCAAATATAAACCAGATAGGTATTATAGTAAATTATAACTATACAAATAAACATTTTATTATTTTAATTATTATACCATGAATTAATTTTTAAGTCCTTTTTTGTAATTTGTCTTCCGTAATTTTCATTATTTGGTAGTGTTAAGTAAATTGACTTAAAAATATGTAATTTGTAAATATTTGTTTGGAAATATACTTTATTAGTTTTATTTTTAGCAAAAAGTGTGGTTGTAGAAAAAATATAGTGCGGAACATGTGCTGAAATAGCATTTCTGTACTCGCTCCACAATATGTCGGTACTATTCAGGAACAAAAAACTAAGTATTGCAGTATTTGAAGTATATAGAAGAGTTATACTTTTCGATTATGTTTTGTGTTCAAATAGTGATGTTTTCTGATACATTCGAATTAGTATATTATAGTATATAGGACAAATAAAAAAGCAATAAAATAGATAAAAGCGTAAACGTTTTTCATTAATAGAGAGATATTGCAAGTTCACTTAATGTCAATCACTTAGAGCCGCTCTTATTTTGACATCTAACCATGCGCAGATCTTTACGTTCTAGAACTAACTTTATTAAAGATAGTGCCTGTCTTTAATTATTGTGGATATTTAAGTACAGAATACAGTGGCGACCTTGTAGCTTTCGGGTGCGCTCGCCGACATTCGTATCAGATCGAAATTTTTAATATTAAATATTTATTACCATCGTCATCTAAACCTTCTAAAATGATAATTTCATATTATGTACTATTATAGACAACAAAAAAGATGAACTATAATTTAAATTTTTTGCATGAGGTTAGAAATATGTATAAGGATAAGGACTCTAATGTCAAAACTTCACGTTTGCAATAAGTCATATTTTAGCCTCTAATTACGTTGTCATTATTAGTGGCTGATTATGATTGCTGACGTTATAGAAATTTACAATATGTCTCTAATATTACGTACTTGGTCTCAGTAGTCACTGCCAAGAACGTTGCGCGCAGAAGCAAACCGTCTAAGTTGCAACTGGCCAAATAGTCGTTGGCAATTTTCTAATTGGTCCAAAAATTAACAGTTATTCAAATGGAGACCAATTCAAGGCGTTCATTAGCTGAAATTGTAGATCCCGACCCTAGATAAAAGCAGTGCCGGTTTAAGATACTTTTGCGCCCGGTGCTACTTGTAATCGCCGCCCTATCTATTAATTTATACATCTTAGATTACTGAATTTATATATTATTTAAAAAAAAAAACAAAATTAAAAAAAAATTTATAATAATAAACCATAATTATTATAATGGTCAGAAACAGCTATAAAACTAGTACGCAAACACAAATAATAAAATAAATCAAACAAAAATGACAAAATAAGATCAAACAAAAATGGAATGAAAACAAAATACCAGTCTAAAACATAAGTTGCCATTCTTGTTTTCTACAATATTATCTTAATAAGTACTATCACTAATACATTAAGGAACTGTTGAAACTAAGTAAAAATAAACTATAAAAATAATAAAGAAATAACGAAAAATAATATTGCTAATGCCCATATTCTAAAATATTGACATGTTATGTTTAATACAAAATTTTGACAATCATTCAATTGACACGTTTCACGCTGCGCACTTTATTAGCTACCACACAGATAGAAAAGTTGGGCGTCTCGTCGAAATGAACCTACTCACGAAGATTACTGCAATAGTGAGACCAATCATCACTTACGGGGCTATAGCCTAGAGTAACAGAACTAGTTTAGCTACTACGAGAGCTAATATTTCAAAAGTACAAAGACTAGCCTGTGTTTGCATCACCGGTGCAATGACAACCTGCCCTACGGCCGCAATGGAGGTCTTAAACCTCACTCCTCTACATTTGATGATAGAGAATGTGGCAAAAAGGACACGATATAGAATGATCAGGAACGGAGCAATCAGACGGAAAGTCTACTTGCTTCAGGACTAAAAATACCTGAGACATGCCCTAGGATGAAATACTAAAGAAGTACAGTTTTGTGAAAAACTTCAAAACCACAGAGCTGGGCTGCGTGAAAGAATGGAGCCAAGAATCCATCGCGCTTGCAACTGAAAGACATGCTATTCAGTGGTATACGAACGGTTCCAAAACCATAGAAGGAACTGGAATAGGAGTGTATGGGACGAGAACCAAGCACGTAATGAGCTCAAAAATGGTTTGGAGATGCCTAGAAAAATTGAATGAACTAGGCGAGAAAAATAGAGTCACTCTTACTTGGGTTCCGGGACATAACGGGGTACAGGGTAACAAGATTGCAGATAGTCTTGCAAGGAAAGGGACTCAAACACCCTTTGTAGGACCAGAGTCGTTCTGCGGTATCAGCAGTAACATAATATTAGAAAAGATTAAAAAAGAATTGGGAAGTAGAAGAACCGATAATTGGAACAATCTCTTGGGGCTGAGACAGGCTAAGATACTTCTGGGTGAATATAACCAGAAAAAATCGGAAGCCTGCATCTGTCTGAGCAAGAACAGGTTACGTATTTTAACACTGATCCTTACCTGGCATTGCCAACTAAGAGGACACCTTAGTAAACTGAGAGTAGTAGAGGATAGTGAGTGCAGCTTCTGTGAGGAGGAGGAGAACTGAATGTGTAGCACTCCAGAATCCAAGGGCACCATACCTAGGAGGATATCAAATAGAACTTGAAGCCACTCCAAATCCTACACTTCTTTAAGAAGATAGGATTGAAAGGGTCGTTATAGGCATTGAGATATTTCATTGGTGCTAGCGACAGAAGGGGGCACAATAGATCTTTCAGGTCGCAGTGTATTAATACCCCATTCCCAACATAACATAACATAACTTCCCAGTCATGTGAGAAGTTAATTATTAGTGTCACACCTGCCTGCCAGGAGGCACAGGGTTGCACGACCTAGGAAATCCCTAGATCTAGCGAATTTTAAGGTACTATAGGGAAGAAAGGGAATTATATTCTTTTTAATGTCTTATTTTTAAGAACGTTTCACTGGAAAAAATAAATAAAAACTAGTAAATCATCCTTTCACGTTCGCATATGTAACACAGAAACAGTAGATTTCTAGTAAACACGTGCTGAAAGTAGCTCATACATTGTGTTTGTTCGGTTGTGTGTATTTAAAAATTATTTTGGGGAATCTATTTAAAGGTCTCAATTTTTTCATGATTTTGGAACTTTAAATATTTCAATTGAGCAGTCCATTATATAACTAATATTTACTTATTACCTTGGTCGCAGTTTTCTCCTGTATATCCTGAAATACAGTTACAATTCCCGTTTTCGCAGATGCCATTCTTGCATATTGGACAGGAAAGGATGCAATGATCATCTCTTTCTATGAATCCTGGACAGCAGGCTTCTACAATTCGGCTTTCATTCTTTTCCTAAAAAATGAGTTCTATTAAAATTAAAAGCGTAAAAATCAAAGTCGCCAGTCACAAAATATGTTCGATTTTCTCTAAAAAAAACTACAAACTTAAAATATCTAAAACAAAAAATCTTAAACTAAAAAACAATATTTAAACTAAGCAATATACAGTATGGTTAAAATTAGAGAAAAACGTTTATTATTTCGTAAATATCTATATAAAAAGAAATCAGTAGGATTAAAATCTGGCGACTTTGGTGTACATTCAATTGATTCTCTTTGACCAATCAAAGCTCGAAAGTACAATCAAATTGAAAGTAAATGCTCAAATTAACGACCCTCAGTGAATTAATTATAAAATAATGAGCTTAATTTTTTCATTTGTACCATATACTATCAGATATTTTTTGATTAAAATGCCCCTTTTTTATTACTTTTCTTTGTTGACACCTATATTGTTTTTGTTTAATACGGTATACTTTGAAAACTGCCTTCTTAAAGTATTTCCACACGTTTAGTTAGGCATTTACATAATCAGTTAACCCAATCATTTGCAATAAATCAATCCTGACTTAAAATTAATTTAGATTATTATAATAATCGACAATTTCAATAAATAATACGGACAAACCGTAAGAAATGTCTACCGAAAAACGTAATTTTAATTACGCGTTGTTAAATCTGACTCTATAATACCTACTATAAATTTTCTTAACTGCCTAAAGTGTTCCAACAGATGTAAGCTCAATTATTATATAACAGCATGTTATACTTTGTAAATAAACATTAACATAGGATCATAAATTATACGAAAATGTATCCCATACAGTTTTTTAACTTTCCAAACGATCATTTTTTATGGAGACATAGTCATAGTGATTTTAACATTTCTTTGCTTTAGTTTATATTATTTAAAAAAATATATAATTAATAAGAATATTACATTATTGTATATTTTGATTTGTTTTTACTGTGACCATTTCTTATTTAAATCGTATCTGCATATAGGAAGTGATTTTGAAAAATTTCAAGGGAAAATAATATCAATCGTGGTTTTTTTTGAACAGCACTGTTAATTAGAATCCAACAGTGAATGGTCGAGTGAGGAATCCTACCAAGGCATCAGAATTAATTTTAAATAATTAAATTAAATAAAAAAATCCCGGCCAACGGTGGGATTCGAACCTGGGACCCTTGGATCCACAGGCAGAGACTCTACCACTGAGCCACCCACCTCTAAAATCGTGGTTGTTATCATCAAAATGTCTGGTGTAATAAATAGGATGTTTTTAACTTGGTTTTTAATAAATTGGGTTTACATTTTTCCAACTCACACGTATTTTTTAATAGGCGATATCAAAGGCGTAGATAAGGGGGAGGTAATAGGGGTAATTACTCCCCCAAGCCATAGTCAACATTATTATTTTTTTAAACATTATATCAAACAAAAATAGATAAATAAATACAATAAAACAAAGAGTTTCTCAAACATTGTCGACTAAAATAAAAATCCTATAAATAGATAATTAAAACATTTCTAAATTAAAAACAACTTTATTATAAAAAAAAATATTTTTTCTTGTAATAGGCATATGAACTCTAGACGTTGTTGCCACATTTTAAGACAGCTTGTTGTCAATAATAGTCACTGATCTCACAGCAAAAGTGGCACGTCCTGTTTTTTACTTGCTATTTGCAGTTCTTACAGGGGAGGGTGAACAACATGTACTATGTCCTGATGGTGGGAGCTGTCGTGTAACCTGTCAAATTTAAAATGTGTTTTAAACCATGGATTTTTTCCTTTTTATCTGGCAATAATTTGCTTTTAGACGTTTATAACAATAAAAAATGTAAGTGTGTAAATGTAGAAATTTCCCAATTTCGATCGTAGGCAAATCAATGATTTGTCGTGGCCAAAGGTTAAGAGTCAAAGTTCGTTTTGTAGTATTTTTTAAAAAAAGTTATTTCTTAAGGTGTCTTTATAACTCAGGCAAACTTCATGAACAATTTTTAATATTAAAATTAATGTCTCGAAGTACATTTTTTCCGAAAACCTTAGTTTACTAATCATCAATTTTCAAATTCATTCCCCCTACTAAATAACGACTGGATTGAAAGGAAATGAAATTCACATTGCACATTATCAGAATTTCCAAATTTCATTAAAATTCGAATAAGAGAAAGGATGGTCGGAGTATGTAGTATTTATTGCACTTAACATCGACATCGACACAGAGCAAAACCGCGGCATGCTGCATAGAATTTGCTCATTGACATTTAAGGTACTACGATTAGGTATATTAACCATTCAAGCTTGAAACATTTCAACAATGGAATGGTTACTACTTCTTAGTACTTCGTGCTATAGATACATTAAATTTAAATTATTTATTTCTTTGTTTTTTTAATGGCCAAAAGTGAAGGTTCAATCAAAAATGTAACAATTGCATGTTGTCTACTATCGTCGTAATCACAGAAGAAACTGTGCCGTGATCAAATATACGATTTTCTTCATGATACGCTTATCAGCAATGTTTATAATGTAACGATCTTCTTTTACTTTTAATATAGACCAGAGAGAAATAAGAAAAAGAAATGAATCATATAATATACAGAATATCAATTTGAATACTTATCTTTCTTCCAGAAAATTATATGAAAAATCAGAAAAACACGTAAATTTATTTTCAAGAGGTGCACTTTCAATTGAAGGGTACAGGGGAAAATGGACTAAGTCAATTTTTAGCAAAGTTGAGATATTGACGTCACTCGATAGAAAATACGTTAAATTTTGTTCTAAAAATATTGTCCACTGCAAGAACACGCTAAATAAAGAGATAACAAATACGAAAAATATCCCGTACAGGGGAATAACGTGATACATCCGTGCGGTACCAAGCAAAAATGGGCTAAACGCAATTTACGCATCTCTTCGGTAGAGCTGTGGTCTAATCGTTTATATGCCAGTCAGTCAGTGTTAGTCAGTGTTATTGATGTTTTTCATTGCCAAACATTATAAGGAACATTCTTCTACCATGGAAAGTGATTTAAGTGATTGTGAGGGTGTGCAGATGGTGTCTTCTACAAAAAAAGGCCAAAACATGGAAGAATAATAGATGTCAATAAAAAACTGAAGATGTAAAGCCATGAAATTGGTAATGAATGCGACTGGAAACGTTTACAGTGCTCCAGAAAGATTCCTGTAAAGGGTATGCAAAATATTATAAGGAATTTCAATCTTTTAGAGTCCACTGATATACAAAACTCCTATTTATGACTCATTAGTATTGTTCCTGTCAAAAATAGACGACCTTGGCTGGATGCTCGTTTAAGAGATGTTGTAGTTATTTATAAGATTGGATATTTATATGAAAATAATTTTACGGAATTAGAGGTGTGTTGAGATGCGTTTATAGCTTTACATGGCATCACCACATCACATCTTTGTAAAGTACTGACATGCCTCCAACAGATAAAAGAGGAAAACACTCAAATAGACCATTTAAACTGTCTGATGATACTCGTAATAAAATAAAGAGCATATATCATCATTTAAAGGTAGAGGCAGTCAATATAGAACCAAAGACTCTCAGAAAAAATATTTGCCTGAAGAGCTCAACACAAAAAAATGTGAGGAATGTTTAAAAAGATGCATCCCGGCAACCATTACAGAACCATTTTCACCACAGATTTTAATATAGCTTTTGGTTATCCACGAACAGACACGTGCAGCACATGTGACGAGTACCTAGCTAAAATGAAATGTCTGGAGCATGAAAACCAAAAACTAGATCAAACAAAGAAGGAAGACATAACAGCTGAAATAAAACAACTGACCACATCACATGACCTGCATTTATGTAAAGCAAAATCATTTTATTCAATTAAAAAGCAATCAAAGCTTTCAGGTCGTAAATCAAACGTTAAAAAGTCATTCTGTATAGACTTCGGTAAAAATTCCTACTAATGATGGATATTATAAGAGACAGTTGTCCAATTATTTGTTCAAAGTTCATGTTCTCTCTGACTCAAAAGTGTCTTTTATGTATACCCAGAAACCATCGCCAAAAAAAGGTAGTGATGATGTTTCTTCTTTACTGAATTACTTTATATATAATTATCTTGATTTTGTGATTCCTGCGGTGAACAAAACAAGAATTACATCTTTTTCCACTACTTGCATAATCTTGTTCATCAACAAAAAAGGTTTGATTCTGTACGAATTACTTTCCCTATTAGAGGCCATTCTTATATGGAAAATGATAAGAATATGGGAATCATCAATCAGAAAGCCAGAGTTGAAACTGTGAAGGAATTATGTGACCTCGTCCAATGTTGCAGAAAAAACCTTCGTCCTTTATAGTGGAATATATTTCAGAAGACAATCAACACATTTTTAAAAAGTGGACCGAATACTTGGATAAATTCAGCAAATAAGGCAAGTTTCAAAAGAACACCCTAGGTTAATCAAGTATAGAAAAACATACAATGGGACATGGTTCTCTGCAGTTGTGATGGATAGAAATCCTATCGTTCTCAAAAATTTGGAGAGAAACAGCCAATTTCTTCTTCTAGAAATATCTTACGCAGGTAAACCTATGCTCATTATACTGTTAGTTTGACTATTAAAGTTTTCTTATTCGCTCCAGGTTCAATACCAATTTAGGCGGAAAAACTTGCCAATTTGCAGAGTTTAAAAAAGTTCTGTGGAAAAGAAGCTCAAGATTAATTTTCCTCACTGGTGCATAATTGATTGGAAATATGAAGGACTTCTTTCGTACAAAAAAACTTTCAAGTTAAACAAAAAAATTGTTTATTTTCTTACACTAATCGAACTTTTAATTTTTCATTTGAACTATATTAGTTATGTAGACATAAAGTTACTTGTTGATTGAAATAAACATATTTCAAAAAAAATTTTTCTTGAATTTCAGGGGAAAAACGGACTAAGTCACAATCAATTATCAATTAATTTTTGTTTTTTCTATCAAAAAGTTTTTTAAATGCTTTCAATTT